CACCTCGGCGCCTGCGGAGAACCGGCCCTGACTGTTTGTGGTTCTGATCTTGCATCGCATTGGAGTCAACAGTCGATTGAGCCGTCTCACTGCTCATCGAAAACCGCTGTCTCGAGATCCCGCTTTGGAAGGATGCGTACTTTCTGAGTCGGAGAGATAGAGAATTCTTCTTCTTTTTTACAGGCGTCGAGCCGCGTTCGACCGAGGACGATCTCTGCGGGGTGAGAGGGCGAAGGGGGTAGAATACGTTTGACTGAGCAGCTGATTCTGGTTCGTCGGCCTTATAGCATATTGGCTGAAGATATTCCCCTTCCACGGGTATCGACTGTGTTGAGGTATCATCGGGAACTTCGGTTTCCGGCGTTTCATGTGTTTCATCATTAGCAATTGGCCCTGGTTCCTGTGCTGCCCCCGACATGAAGGGCATTTCGAAACCGGTATCATCGACAATGATGATAGATTCGCTGCCCATGGTGATACCGCTCCTGAGTTTTGGTTCGGTGTCGGGGGTTTGCGTAGGTAAAAGATTAGAAGGGTTAGATGCAGGCTCCCGCGCGGCCGCTTGATGAAAGTCAGACGCAGCTGGCGGCTGAGTTTGGTCTTTCGTTCCTTCCTGGTTCATGGCCAAGCGGTATTGTTTGAGGACCTCATCACACAGTACATCAATCCGACCTGGATATTTGGGAATAGCTGCCATCTTCCTCTCCCGGTAGAATTCAGAGCCGAAAGCCAGTCCAGTTGGCATTGCGGATGTCTTCCCGCGGGAAGGCAATGAAATAGCCTCATTGGCATTCGCAATACGAGCAGAGACGCTCTGTCCACCGTTCCTCGTGTGCAACGCCCGTTTGATTGAGCCAATGATTGTTCTCATACCCGAGTTGGGTGACGACTTCGGCACGTCCGGTGTACTCCGACGATCTGGATTTGGGTTCTTCAACGGCGGAGGAAGAGGCGGCGATTCCGGTGCCATCATCGTCATGTACGATTCTGCAGGAGGGTACATCTCCCCACGTATTAAGCTCACCGGATCGAGTATCTCCTGTGGCGCGGGTCCCGTTTCGGGCTCCATCGCGAACATCGGCACTCGGTCATCTCGCACCGAGTCCGAGAAGCTTCCGCTTCTTTTATGGCTATGGCTGTGGTATGGGTGCCGCGAGACCATGGGAGCTACGGGTGACCTAGGTGGTTCATGAGTATTGGACGGGGGCTTCGACTTTGTGAGACCCAATACCACAGGACGGGGTGCCTTGCCCTTCGAGGCACACATGGACAAGCGCTTGGGGGATTTAGGTGGTAATGAACACGAGAGCGCCATCAAGCTTTGATCGCTTTTGGCAGAGAATGGAATGCTTTGTGTGGTTGCTGCAGAGTCATTCCGATCATGCTGTATGGGACTTTCGCGAAAGGTGGTATCTGCATGGGGTGCCATGCCATAAGTAGGGACGTTTTGCTGCAGTTCCCCAGATTTAGGTAACTCAATCTGAGCGTCTCCAGGTACAATTGGGGTTTCTGGATCGTTATAGGCGCGAGACAATTGGGGAGAAGACCAATAAACTGAACATTTGCCATTCCAGCAACGCTTCAAGTCAATGAGAATCTTTCGATCACTCGTGCCGCCATTGTGTCGAGACCTGACCTCTGAATATAGCTTGTTGATGGTCTCGCAGAAGTTGGTCCGAAGCTCGTAATTCGTAACAAAGTCATCAACGAAGTAATTGAGAATCCAATGTCGCAAAGCTGCAAATGTGCGAATCCTAATAATGCGTCCATCATCTTGTAGTCGGTTGATTGCCCACTTTAACCGTGCAAGAAGAAGAGCCAAAAGGTGTGTCGTAGATAGGTATGAACGGAAGGTAAGGAAGAAGTCCGATACTAGCTCATAGTCCATGAATGACTCGGAGGAGATTTGGGCAACGATTCGGGCAGGGGTGGCAGCACTGATATCCTTTGTCCCAGAAATATATCGGACAACGGATCCATCATCCATATCATACACCAGGGTCTCGTAGATAGATGGCTCCACAGGCTCTTTCAGTTCATAGACCATGGAATTTCTCGGAGCTGGTGAAGCTCGGTTCATATCCATAGCCGCTGCGGTGCCCGAGAACATGGAAATTGCAAAAGATGGCCGATGCCGTGAAAAAGAGTCTCGGGGGTATGGACTATGGAGTCCCGGCAGAGGGTCAGCCATGCCCCCAAGCAGTGTTGAATTCCGAAAGTTGTCCGACATCGAGGTTCGCGTGTAGACAGAACTCTGCATCATTGCGCTGCCTTCGGCGTTGAACCGCGGCGACCCGGGCTGGTAACGCGGAATAGGAACCTCCAAGGCTGGTGTCGAATTCTCACGTGCAGACTTGGGGCGGTCCTCAGATCTATCAATCACGATCCGCAGCTCCCCACGCTTCCCAGCACCGGCTATCGATTGCTGCTCCGATATTGTTGAAAACGAGATCGGCCGCGTGCGGTGCTGACTCGAGAGTTCGGGAGGAGACACGGCGAGAACGGGCTCGGGATCTTTGGGCTGTTCGCGCGGACGTAACTCAGAGAGCTGCGAACTCGACCACCTGGATGGATCTGGATCCTCGCGGGCATGTGCATGACTCTGCGGCTGAAGGAGACTGGGTTTCGCGGTATCGACTGGAGAGAAGGATGCAGGCTGTGGGCTTTTTTGGGGCGGATTGGCAATCGGCCTGAATTATTGAAATAGTCCTATTATCAGCACGCCGCACAGGATGTGACACAGCACGAGGAATTATGGGTCGATTGGTGTACTCCGTACCTGAGAAAGATTTTGCCATTCTGGCCGACACTTCTTACGGTGAAATGGCCGGCCTTCCTCCCGGCGGACGCGCCTCTAGTGGGCCACGATGTGTTTGGGACCGCTGTAGCTTGTTCTGTCGTAGGAGCTCATGGCTATCCTTGGCATTTATCCCAGTTGCTGTTCTCTCGCGTGCTGCCTTCAGCTCTAGGTTCCGCTTGACATTGCCGCCCTGGGCTACGGTATTGGCACGCCGAAGATTTGAGATTGGATTTTGAGGCCCACTAGGCATTCGGTTTGAGGCTGACAGTTCGTTAATTTGGACTTGCGGGCCCAGAAAGGCATCCTTGAACTCCGGATGGGTGGGTGGAGGAAAGGGCTCCATGACGCGAAAGCTATGAGAACACGAAATGCTCCCGTCGCGACGGGGCCAGGGTCTGTACCACTGGAAGAAGTCAGAACAAAATCATACAAAATCATACATGACTTATGAGGTCAGAAGGGTTGGGGAAAAAAATAAAAAGGGAAGAAATTGAAATTGGACAGCTCTTGTTTTTGTGGAGATGACCCGACGCGGCGGAAGAACAGTTGTGGAACGGCTGTGAGCTGGGAATGGGAACGCTGGGTCTTCTATTTTAAAATTGCCCCTTTTACTGTTTTTATCTTCTACATCTACCTATGCATATTAATCTGACTCTTCCTACTCCGTACTGAATACTCCGTACTTCGTGTATATATATATATATATATATATATATATATATATGTACTTTACTACTACTCCTCATTTCTCTATATGAAGAGATGACTGTGCAAGGGGAGGTGATAGATCATTACTATCGGGCAGACCGGCGAAAAGACCCGTGGACTGTCTCAGGCCCTTGTCTACAAAGTACATATATAGGAGTAATTTTGGTTGGTTGAACCCGTTTCCATCTCCACTTGATAGATTGACGCGAGACTGGGGACATTCCAAGGGAACTTGGAGCTACTGACACTTCCCGGGTCGATCAACTTATGTTGCACTCCCGTATGTTGTATACAACATTGAACATAGTACTCCGTAGATGTCTTACTTTATAATGCTTTGACCTCAAAAATGGACCTGTCTTGATTTTTCATCTCAAAGGAGATTATTACTGTGTGACACCTCTCATTGCAATTGGAAATGGCCATGGAAATTACCGTGCAGCAACGCCCTAATTTGGATGACCCTACCTTATAGGCTAGCGCAGATGTGGGCCAGAATTCATATGAAGATCTGAGGATCGTATGATTGAAATTTCAGAAGTCCAAATTGTCCGTTTTTCTTTCTTCCTTTTTTTTTTTGGGGGATAGGTCCATGACCCGTTAAACTCTCCGGCTCATAAATGAGTTTACTCTGTACTCCGTACTCAATGTCCATATTTATGCACCCACTTCAATTACAACATACTTCACCTTCGTTTTGCCATGCGTGAGACATCACATGTCAAATGTCGATCAAACAGCGATCCATAAGAATTGACATGTCGATATTAAAAACGGGACCCAAAATCATCTACAATATAACTCTGAGGCGAGGGGTCTCGGACCTTGCTGATCTAGGTAATTAGATCCCGAGGTCCGTTGTCTAACTCTTTATCTCTTCCTCTTCCTCTTCCTCTTCCTCTATCTTCTTGGGGTCTGGCCGATACCGAATGTTTCCCTGGCCTGAGGCCTGTTCCCGCTTGTTTTGGGCAGCGATCGCCGTGGAGATCAGCGGCCTTAGGGTTCCGGCATCTTGGCCGAGCAGAATGTGCTCTCAGATACCGTTAGCATCCATATGTAGGGGCAACGAGGTATCGGACATGGGTGCCAGCGAGTTGCTTTGCGGATTTAATCACAATGCGTCAGCATATATAGTTGAAACAGCTTTGAGTTCCAGGTAACAGGCTAAAATATTAGGTTGTGATGCTTCCGTCCTAGCGACTGACCCGGTTTGAGATGTCACGAATAACCCTATTCGAGGGTCATCATATTCAGCGCGACTTGATGAGAGTGAATGTAAAGATGTAAGTTCTTGAGAAAGTACTGATGGTTGGTGAATGTGCATCGATAGGGTGGTTGTGAACACTAGCGGGGGAGTTACAATAATATCCATTCAGGTAATGGGCAAGGATAAAATCGGACCGGGCACAGCTAGGTATTTGTGTTGTGACCAAGTCGGAATACTCATATTTACTCAAAACTCATGAAAATGCCATTGACAGTAAACTAAGAACTACCAGAGCTTGCAAGCCGGCTTCTTTTCTGGGCAACTAAAGGCATTCTTGAACTCCCTAGAATTGGCCATGGTTTCCTGTGACAGCAGTCAGTGGTGGCGCACGAAAAAAGGAATGCATTGATAAGACTCACGATAATTCGCGCTGACTTAGGCGCGTGGGGATCGTTATAGATCGCCTGCTCAGCCGCCTCTTTCGTAGTCTTCCCGCACCACCAATTGCCATACGATATAAAGAAAAGCTGCTCTTTGGTAAATGCATCCAGTCCCGGGAGGTGAAGATCAGGCTTTGCCTCATCGTGCTTCTTCCATGCGTGGTATGATGCTGTCAAGCCTCCAGCGTCGGCGATGTTCTCGCCCAGTGTCAGTCGTCCGTTGACATGGAGGACCTTGTCCTCGGGGCCAATGACCGTGAACTTAGAATACTGGTCGACAAAGCATTGAGCACGCTCTTCAAAGGCTTCAACGGTCTTGTCATCCCACCAGTTAGTGTAGTTTCCACTCTCGTCGTAGTGTCGACCGGTAGAATCGAAAGCTATACCACATTTGTCTGTTAGAAAGCGGCAATTGTTTTGCAGGGAACTGAACATACCATGTGAAAGTTCGTGGCCACTGACGGCACCGAATGCACCATATGCCAGATACAATGGAGCGGAAGGTCCATAGAACGCTGGCGGCTGCATAATGCCGGCAGGGAAGACAATCTCATTACCTGGTGGGTTGTAGTAAGCGTTGACAGTCGGTGCACTCATGCCCCATTCGTCACGGTTGGTGGGCTTTCCGAGCTTAGACCATTCGCGGCGAAGTTGGAACCTCGCCACGGCCACCTCATTCTCAAAGAAAGTGTCTTTGGATAATTCTAGATCCCGGTAGAATTTATTCACGTCCTCGGGGTCTAAAACATTCGGACTCTTTGTGGGAAATCCGATCTTCTGGATAATGTTTCCCACCTTCTCAATGCCCAATTTTCGCACATCCGGAGACATCCAGCTCGTCTGGTCCAGGGTAAAGATAAATCGCTCCTTGATATCGGAAACGATCTGGTCGCCAAGTTTTTTCGAGTTCTCAGAGAACGCATCGAGCACATAGAAACGGCTGAGACTCCATTCGAGCCCGTCATCCAGACGCCCAAGGCATTTACGCCATCTCTCCTCCTTGGCCTGAGGCTCTTTGCCGGCGAGAACATTCTCAAATCGCCGAAGAGGTTCAATAGAGGCATCCTCAATAACGTCCGCAAAAGCTTGTATGAGCTTCCACTGCAAGAAGAGCAGAATGGTCTCTCTGGGTGTATCTTTCAAGAGAACAGACAATGCCTTCATATAGGAAGGCGACCCCACAATTAGGCGATTGCCCTTGTAGTCATGGGGTGCCAAAGATGAAATAATATCAGTAAAAGAGATCTCAGGTACTAGTGCCTCCGTTTCCTTGATACTAAGGGGGTTGTAGTATTTGGTGACATCTTCCTGGGTTTGGGTATCCGGAGTCACATCCGCGAGCTTCTTTTCGAAAGCTACAACATCCTCGGCAGTTTTGTCAAATCCATCTCCAGCAAATCGCTGAACAACTTGCTTCAAAACGGCTGTATAATCAGCCACGGTCTTTGTGTTATTATAGTACTCTCTTGCGGGAAGTCCTATTTCACGAGGCGGCGAGATCATAATAACAACATTATCGGGGTCTCGATCATCGGGCTAGAAGGAGTCATTAGTGGCACCCATAAAGTATAGGTCACATAGACTTACAGTGACACCGGAAGAAGCCAGAGCCTCGACACCAGCGTTCGCCAGATACAACAGAGCATTGGTGAGTTGATCCTGTGCTCCTTTCACAAGACCTGCCTTTGCAGGATAGATACTCTTCAGTTCGTCCAGAATATCAGTCAAAGGCTTGCTGCCCCGTTTGTTGACTGTAGCCTCATCCAAGCAAGCATCGTATGCAGCTTTGAGTTTCTTGAAATTGTCGGCATCCGATGGCTGTGGCGGTTCTGTGCGCTCTAGTATATGACGAAGTTTGGTTTGGGCATTCTCATGCATGATTGTGCCTGCAAATATCGATCCCTGGTCGGGCCGCATGTCATGGCGCTCCCTCCATCCACCGCAGACATATCGGTCAAAATCAGTGCAAGGATCTATGTTCTCATAATTGGGATCTAGATTGTAGAGGATTTCTGAGGCAGCATGAATGCATTCTTGCGACTGGCAAAGCGGGGGAGCCTCGGGGTGCGGGGATGGGTTCTTCTCGGTAGACAGAGAGCCTAATCATAAGGACGCTCAGTTAGTGACGCATTCTAATAGAACGAAGGGACTGATACCATGCGGGAAGCCTAGAAAGTAGGTAGTAAGAATGGTGATCACAAAGACGCAGAGCCCTTTCTTCAGAGTTGTCGCCCAGCAGGGGCGAGTTCCTTGTAGTTTTTTGTAACGCGTGTGGCTGGAAACAAAGTCATTGTCCTCGGAATCATAGACTTCGCTTACATCCAGAAGTAAACCCTTCTCGGACTGCATACTGTGCAAAGAGTATGTAGTTGGTGTCACGTTCGCTATGGTCACTGACAAGCTATTAGCACCTCATAGCTGCCGAACGCGATGCGGCCAAGAAGACATACCTGAATGATATCGGTACTGTACTTAGGAATACTATGATGTTTAGGAAAATGATGCTTATCCGAGAATCATGGACTGAATAAGTCTCGGTGCATATTCCAAGGTTACTCCTTAGGCAATGAGGAGAAGCTGGGGTGGGGAATGGCGTCACATTCGGGGTCGGTCTCGGGAGCACACCAACGATGACTCAGCGGCCTGCATTCCTGAAGTCCCAGGTATGTAATGGCAACCTTCATTTCAGCTGAGCTATGGTTAGTGAGCATATTCCCGAGGTCGCTCTGGAATTTTTACCTTCTCCAATGGTAAGTGAGGTCACACCCCGGGCCTGGGCGTTGAGCGACTAGGAAATGGGCTATCGTTATCAGCGCCAATGAATTCCTCGATATACCTACCTACATATGTATCTAGGTAGGTAGAGTTAGACCTACCTACATGTACCTAGGTAGGTATCGGGCAATTGGCAATTACATACGATCGCTCCTGCCAAATATGGAATGAATGGCTTTGAATAGCACTGGGTTTGGCGTAGGTCACGAGATGCATGGACGATGTTCCAGATCATTCAGTTTCAGTTTCCCCCTTCAAATAGTCAGAACCAGACTCTATCAGTCTTCTATAAATGGTCTCGGCTGTCATGATTTGTCCAAGAGTGGTGTTGTTTATTCAGAGAAAACTGCACACATGTGCATACACGTTGAATATCGGCCATGCAAGTCACGGCAACTACGAGCCCAGCCAGCCAGGACTAGGCAGGAACCGGCAAGGTCCATGAGGCGCACCCCAAAAAACCAAACAATGGCCTGGGTAGGTGGCCCTGAAGTTTTGCTGAGGGGCCCAATCTTACACCCAATACACAAAAGTGGCGAGAGGCGAGCCTCGAGGGCCAGACATAATCACAACAATGTAGGTCACAGTCTAGCCAAAGGCCCATATGCATTGACAATTGCTAGGCTTGCCGAGTTGATCTCAGATATGGACCTACAGCCTGTGAGCTGCATACATCGCTTGAAGTCATCAAACAGGATTTTGAGCATCAGCTCGACTCCCTGTTGCCCATCATGCTACAAAGAAGTCAGTACACCCGCCTCCGCCTCTATCAGGATCCTTGATGTAACAAGGAGCACTTACCGCGAGTCCCCAAATTGCAGGACGACCAACCCAGCAACATTCAGCGCCAAGAGCTAAGGCTTTGAAAATGTCAACCCCAGATCGAATTCCACCATCAATATGAATCTTGATCCGCCCCCGCGCAGCTTTGGCACAGGCAGGAAGCGCATCAATTGTGGCTGGTGTCTCATCCAGCTGTCGCCCACCATGGTTGCTGATGATGATACCATCACAACCATATTCAATAGCGGTCTCGACATCTTCCGGGGTGAGAACGCCTTTAATCCAGATCTCCATCTTCGTGACTCTGCGCAGCCATGGGATCTCCATGGCCCAGGAATGGGAATCCGAGTTTGTCGAGCTAAACCCATCGTCGTGAGATTGTTGCTGGATCTCGGCAGATGTTCTTTCATACATCGGATACCCCAAGCCAACTGGAGGCATGAACCCGTTCCGCCATTCATTCCAGCGCACCCCAAGTACAGGGCTATCCGCAGTCAGAAATATCGCCTTGCAGCCCGCAGCTTCAGCCCGACGGACGATTCGTTCTTGTTTAGCTTTGTCGTTCATCGCGTAGAGTTGCATCACATGGTGAACCGGTCCCAGTTCTTTTCCAGCGACGGTGATTTCTTCAACCGAGTGATTGGCATAGGACGAGATACCCATGTTGACGCCCATTTTGGCACAGGCTCGGCTTGTGGCTAGCTCACCTTCTGGGTGAGCCATAACCTGCATTCCAGTGGGTGAGACACAGAGCGGAAATGTGATATCTCGGTCAAAGAGGGAAATTCCAGTGTTGACAAGTGAGACGTCTCTCAGAACTCTTGGTAAGAGGCGGTACTTTCTATACGCAGCACAATTGTCGTGAAGTGTGACTTGGTTTGTTGCGCCGGAGTTGAAGAAGTCTATTTCTCTATATTAAGGATAAACATGGCAACACGAGAGTCAATACATACCTCTCGCGGAGATGGATAGTGAGTTGGAAGCAGCCACCTCAAGGTCGGCTATTGATAATATTTTATTTGCCATTGCAAAGGACAGAAAACAGGAGATATTGAGACATGTGTGCTGAAGCACAGACACATCTTGATAGCTGTAGTTGACGTGAGGGGTAAAGGTGGGGGGCTTATTCCATCTGTACTATGTAGATTTACCGCTTATTCCATCTAGAAATGGACAGCTCGTCATTTGGCATAGATCTTATTATAGTATAAAGAGTACGTGCCCAGAACATGGGTGTCCGGCTGAATGAAGTACCCCGCGCCATGACAGATCTGTTTGACGTGAGGCCCTCAGACTTCTTAGGCCACTAATGAATATATGTAATATCTGAAGGGACATCGCATTATAGAAGCTTGTAAATGATATGGAATTTGAATAGGTACTAGAAATATATTTTTGGGTGTGTTTTGGCCCAAGGGGAATGAATTCAAGGTATTCTGACCTGACTCAAGGTTCTCGTATAGAGCACATAGCCGAACATTATAGTACAATTAAGTTTGCTTATTGAGGTTCAAGCTGGAAAGCCAAAATATATACTTATAACCGCACCTAGATAAAGCGTCTGCTAAAAAGTGATTCGGATATAACGACACAAAGATATAGAAAATCGAGGAGGCCTATTACGAAGGGGCCCTAAGATGTCAAAGCCTTGTGTTGTGTCCCATGTCTCATGGGACTACCATGATCGTTCAGTTTATAGCTTATCCCTCTTTCTGCACTATTTTCTCCATAAACTATTCACCCGGCTTGACAATGTTGATATTTCGTTACACTCGTTCAGGGATAGTAATGGGTGGCTCAACCGACAATTGTAGTTGCTATTTGGCTACAAGTTTAGGGAATCATGACCAAACTTGCTGCCGCTTAAACTCTTTGACAAGCTGAGTTTAAGATAAAGGCTACTTGCTCACCACAGCCTCTTTAGATTTGGGCAATGTGCGGGGTTTTGATACTACAACCCTCTACATCACCTTTTCATACCAAATGTATGAGATTCCTTTACATGATAGGCTATTCCCTCTCGATGCCAAGTCAGACCAAGGCTTCCCCGGCTTTTCATGCCCTCTTCTGTTGCTTGGCATCAAGCGAAAATCTGAGGGGTAACCTTGGTAGTTCCCCAGATTCTTCGATTGTCCATCTTGTTCCGAGGTATCTTTCAGGGTTATCGCTACTATATTGGATAAGCTCGGTTAAGATGCTCTTAAAATATGCTCTTAAGGTACCGTCTAGTTATGTATTTATTCCCAATTCATCACGTTGCTATTCACGTTTCTAGCCTCTATTGTTTTGTTGAAGTATCAAAAAACCCATCAATTTGCCACAATGGCATCGATTCGGCCAGCCCCCAAGAAGATAGATCCATGAAGAAAGAGGACTTGGAATTCGTCCATCTTGAGGAACAAGAGCTGGCACATTGCACTCCTGGCAATGAGTCCCCTGTGTATGGTATTGACGAGGCACATCAGAAAAGAGTCATGTGTGTCCTCTCTACATTCCAACGTGGTCAATAAGCCAACTCTGATGTTCGGACTAGTCGACGCGTTGATCTCCGCCTCCTCCCAATTCTTGGAATCATGTATTCCATATCGCTTATTGATAGGACCAACCTTGGTCTTGCATTTGTAGCAGGGATGGAACAGGATCTTGAACTCGACATCGGTACCAGGTATACGATTGTTGTTATGGTATTCTTTGTGGCATACATGTAAGCTCTTTGATATCACCTGTAAACGGTTTAGGTACACCAGTTTTCTAACTTTATACCTTAGTATATTCGAGATACCTAGCGTACGTCCGCGCTCCTTAACCAGGAATTGTTACTAATGACGGAAACTCAGAATCTGGTACTTCCTCGGGCTGGTGCAGCCAACTGGCTAGCGTTTCTTGGATTTAGCTTTGGAGCGATCTTGATCGGCATGGGTTTCACCAAAAGTTGGACCACAATGGTAGCTTGCCGATTCTTGTTAGGTAAAGAGATGTCCTCCAAGGTTTCCTGTTCTACCTTACTGACCCGGTGTCTTTTTTAGGTGTGATGGAAGCCGGATTCCTTCCAGGTATATCGAACTCGACTATGTCTCCAAGTCAACATTACTAACTATACAGGTTGCACCTATCTAATTACATGTTGGTACACACGATTTGAGGTAGGCAAGAGACTGGCCGCCTTCTGGCTGGTCTCTGTTATACTGAATGCCTTCGCTGCAATCTTTGCCTATGCCTTGACCCTCCTAGACGGGAGGTACGGGCTGAACGGATGGCGCTGTGGGTTGTTCAACTCCGTGTCATGATAATAACAATAGCTGACTGCGATTATGCTCTAGGGATTTTCATCGTCGAGGGTGCCATTACTAGTAGCATTTGTTTGATTGGCTGGTTCATCATCATCGATTTTCCGACTCAAGCAGACACGTTCCTCAAGCCGGAGGAAAAGGAATTCGTCATCGCCCGCATAAACAACGACAGTGGAGATGCGAGGGAGGATCCAATTACCATGGAACGGGTTGTTCATCATCTTAAGGACTGGAAGTTGTATGTCTGGGCATTCAATCTCATGGCCTCCACCCTACCCGGATATGCGTACAGTTACTTCAAGACAGTCATCCTCATGGGCATGGGCTTCAGCAACACGCAGAGTCAGCTTCTCAGTGCCCCGCCTTACATCATTGCTGCAATCTTTACATATTTGGGTGGCTGGCTCACAGATAAATATCAAATCCGCGGGCCGGTGATTGCTGTCCATCAACTGCTGACAGCAGTAGGGATGTTGATCACAGCCTATGGCGGTGCAAGCGGGGCAAGATACTTTGGGATATTCTTGGGTGAGCTCTCTATTTTTCAGGATGGATGGTTATATATCTCTAACGTTATACTCCAGGTGTGGGATTCCTGCAATTTTGCATCCCTGGTGTGCTTGCATTCCAAGCGAACAACATTACTTCCCACTCGAAGCGTGGAGTCGCATCAGCAACCTGTCTGATTGGCGGGGGCCTTGGGGGCATCATCGCAAGTGTCACGTTCAAGTCTGATGAAAGTCCGCATTATACTACAGGCATTTGGGTCACATTTGGTATTACAATGGTTAGCATATGCTTAACCCTGATGATGGACATTCACTTTTGGAAAACGAACAAAAAGGCCCGGGAGACAAATGGTCAGATTGAGGGTATGGCAGGATGGTATTATACTCTTTGAGTATGATATATCGATATTGGAGAAATCGTGGAATCAATAGGAGCATTCGTGGTGGTCAGTGTTAGGCACCCACATGGCAACAAGGTTTTCGATTCTATGCAGTGATTTATATGTAAATTGCAAGTAACATCTTTGTGGCACTCCATATTCATCGGATAACCAAAATGTGAAGAGCATATGAAAAAGACTAGCTCTGCCAAGATGACCTTACCCCGTGGCTTTCCTTCCAATGTTGTACCTTTTTTTTTTTTTCGAGCTTCACATCTATATTTCCTTCTACCGGTGCCCAACAAGCCCCTCGAACTCAGCCAACTGAACGACTCCCAACGCTAACAATATGCAATGCAGCGTCGATGCCATTGACGCTATTGCGAAGGCTTCACATCTATCGAACAGATGTGGGAAACACAAGATTAATGATTCCTTAAGTAAAACTCTAGTGATATTATGGGCTTATTTAATTGATTACTTCTTCGTACAAAAATTCCCGAGGTCTATGTAGGTGCTGACGCACCTGGGCACTGCCATCAGCTTACCTCATCCCCTTATGGAAAACCATCGACAGACAAGTATCTAGTACGGAGTACTCCGTAACCCGTATCACTTAACATGGGCGTTGCTAATAAAAGAAATTTAGTATGCTGTATGTATATTTTCAGCGGATCACCCTTGGGGTAATGTATTCCGGTCCTCACAATCCTGCAGGACCTTGGTCTAAGCATAGACCCATCAAAACGGCCACTAAAAATGGTCATGATTCCCCATTCTCCATGTTTCACTAATTTATTTGTCCTTTTACACTTGAAAAAGAAAAACGCAAATAAATGGGATCACCCCATCTAAACCGGTTTGACGAGTACTATGCTGGACTAGGTATATCAACTCCGGAGCTATTCCCGAACGACTCACGCTCGGACTTTGATAACCCAGAAATTGGGCCTGCTGTCAAATGCTGATCGACAACGTTTAAATTGCCCGAGTCCCATTCAACGCCCCCTGAGTAGTTTAGCCGTTGCAGGTTTACGGAGTATGGTTCACTGTTGTATCGGCCAGGCAGTTCCCGCCTCCTCCGTATGTGGGTATGGATATTAGGTGGTCTTCCGGAGTGGATTTACTTTGTATGTGGCGTCTGGCTTTGACGAACCTAAACCCTATTCACGTGTATTCTCGGGGAATTATGCTACAGGATTTTTAGATAAGAGGGATCTGATATGTATATTGTACATTGGCTGCCCCGGGGTGTATAATATACTATCTAAGGCAATTGTGTTGTAAACTCTCGATTTGATTTGCCATAGTGAGGCTTAGGGCTTCGGTGGGAAGATTGCCAGAGCTTTATGATACGAGTGGAGCACCCATTATGCATAAATAGAATGACAGGAGATGAGTATAAAGTTGATACGGAGGACTGTACCTCGGGTATCCGCCAAGAAAAAAAAAGACACGCCACACGTGGGAAATTTCTTGGAAGTTGCATGTGGACCCAATCTCAGGCTTTGGACATGAGAACCTATGAGCTCCTCCAGGGCTCTTTTTCATCAGTACACAAGCAGCCAGTAAACCCGGGCAGCTGGGGAAAAGGCTGACCCACCGGGTACTCCGTATCCGTACGATATTGTATATACGTACGGAGTACGTACATACATATGTACTTATAGCGATAGTCCCGATCGCATCTCCGGGATGGCGACTCTTGTACCATATCGGGTCGCGGAGAATTTTCGTTGATGCAAACTAGGCTGGTCCAGGTTGATCCGGATTCATCCCATAGAAAATACAACGTTGTACGGAACACTCCGTATATTCTTCGGATTCCGGCTAAATGTGACACGGCT